ACTGACAAGTTTTAAAATTCTGACTAAAGAGATTTTAGGAACATTTAGGAATTCGGTCTCGGCTGATGGCTGACCGCCCCAGGCCCCTTCCCCGACCCCATCTGCCACAGAGATGGGGAGGGGGCATGAGGAAGTGCTGGCCGAGGCAGGGCTGGCACCCCGCCCTGCCCCCTTAGTAAGTTGGCCCTGGAGGGCAGAAAACCCCCTAGAACGTAAGGCACTCAGTACCACTTGGCCCCGGCCTCGGGTATGCCACATATTTTAGACGCAAGGAAAAGTTCCATGTGTAGGAGCCCCAGGCCCTTTGACCCCTCTCTGTCCCCATGTTCTCAGGACCTCCCACAGAAAGGGGGGCTGGGGCCCAGGGCCACACCCATGTTCTTCTCTGCCTTGCAGACTTGGTCCGGTCGGGAAGAAGCCTGCTGAGGTTCTCCTGGAGGCCATGGAAAGTTCTCCTCCTAAGTCACCTGCAGGCTATCATTTCCCAGCTTTGAGGGTCTCCCCACTTCTAATATGCCGAAATTCGGTCATTAAGCCCATGCTCGCTCAGGTCATTTGCCGTGTTTTACGAGGACCAAGGCCCGCGGGGTGGTGGAGGCCGGTCTGGCTCCTGCCCAGATGGCAGGGTCGTGGCGATGGCCTCTGTCGTCATTGTGGCCCCACTGTGCGCCAGCTGCATTGTTCCGAGGTCCTCCAACGACCACGGAGGCTTTATCCCCGTCCGACAGACGGGGAAACTGAGGCTCCGAGGTCCGTTAACTGCGTCCCGAGCACATGGGTAGGAAGTGGCGGGGCCCGGGTCAGAGTCGGGTCGGCTGGGGCCGGTGGTAGTCGTGTTCTCTCTCTCTGGGGAGCCACGTCTCACTGAGAGAACGAGCTGATGCGGCACAAGCGACCACAGTACAAGCCACCAGGACTGGCATCTTGACAGACGTGTGGCGAGAGCTGGGGGCCTGGGGGGCCCTCCTCACTGGGGTGCCCAGGAAAGGGCTCTCGGAGCGGGAGGCCCCAGACGTCTCAGGCAGGTGAATGGAGACGAGAAAGGCCAGGGGAATCTGCTGTGAAAGGAGCAGTGTTGGAGCGGAATGTTCTAGACTAATGACAATTACCCGCATCCCGTGGTTTTGGGGTTTCTTTCCTTCAGTTGACCACGAGCAGGGGGAGCGTGACTGTCTCCTCGGCTGGCTCTCAGCACAAGGACCAGCATTTTGGGTGCCCGCCCCCATGCTGCAGGGGCATCCTCTTGCCAAGGGGGCCCCCAGATGTCAGCAGCGGCAGGGGGCCGGCTACGCCCACCCATGCCTCCTTTCCCACCCGCCCTTCCACAGGGGTCAGAACTGCTGCGGGACCCTTCCCTGGGGGCTCAGTTCCGAGTGCACCTGGTGAAGATGATCATCCTGACACAGCCCGCGGTAGGCGCCGCGCCGG